CTTGCACTCTGTCTGTCTGTCTGTCTGTCTCTCTCAAAACTAAACATTAAAAAGAAAATAAGGGTGATTTTTATAGTATGTGGATTGTATCTCAATGAAGCAATTTTTAAAGTTTTTAAGTTACCATATGAGTATAGGCTTATTGCCAGAAATTGTTCTTTTCTAATTTTTTTCCAAATAAGTTGGACTTGTTATAAAATGGACTCCAGAGGCCAAGGTAATGGGTATTTGTAGGAGGGGCCCTGTCTGGGTGGCTTTGGATTTTGACGTTCTTTTTTCCTGAATGCTTTTGCAACGATTCCAGTTCAAGCAAGCAATTACAGTACTTTAATAGAAGTGATTAATTTTAGAACACTTTGGAACAATTTTTAAAATCCTCTAATTTCATTCATTTGTTTAACAAATATTGATTCAAGTACCTGCTCTGCGGTAGGCACTATACAAGGTGCTGTCTACCGACAAAAATTCCTGCCTTCATAGAAGGTAGAGAGAAACAATAAAATAAGTAAGAATAGTATGTAATATATTAAATGATAGAGTCTAAGTGCCCTGACTGGTAGGAGGGATTCAGGATTGTTTGATTTCACAAGAGTGCTTGAGAGGGCTTCACTGAGGTGACATTTGAACACAGGAGATAAGAAACATAGGAGGTACCTAAGGGAAGAACATTCTAGTCAGAAAGAACAGTACATGCAAAGGCTGTGAAGCCGAAGCATTCGTGGTATATTCAAAGACCATTTAAGATTCCTCCATAGCTAGTGTGCAGGGAGCACACAGTAGGAGAAAAAAGATAGGTGAAGAAATGGGACCAGACTGTATAGTGCTTTATTAGGCTTTTATAAGAATTTTGGTGGCATTTGGGTGGATCAGTCAATTGAGTGTCCAACTCTTGATTTTGGCTCAAGTCATAACCTCATGGTTCATAAGTCTGAGCCTCGTGTGTTGGACTCTGCACTGACAACCTGCTTGGAATTCTCTCTCCCTCTCTCTCTGTCCCTCCCTGACTTGTGCATGTGTGCATGCACTCCCTCAAATAAACATTAAAAAAAAAAGAATCCTGGCTTCTTCATAAGTAAGACAGCCAAACCATTGTAGAGTTTTGAGCAGAGATGTGAAATGGTCTTACTGACATCTTAACAAGATCACTCTGGCTACTTTATTGAGAAAAGATTTTCAAGTGAGGTAAAGATAGACACAAGAAGACCAGTTAGAAGGCTATTGCAATAATCCAGGCAAGACATGATGGTATACTAGACCAGAATGGTATCAGTAGAGGTGGGGAAAAGTAATTGGATTCTGGATGTATTTGGAAAGGAGAGCCTATGGTGGGGGGAGGGGGGGGTGGGGTGATATGACCCAAGAATTTGGCCTAAACAACTGGAATGGTGAAATTCAAGTTCACCTTAACTGAAATGGGGAAGACTACAGGTAGAGTGGCATGTGGGGTGGCAGGTGGGAGATCAGGAGGTAACATTTTAGCATATTTTAGATATGTTCTATTAAGACATCCAAGTGGATATGTTGAATAGGCTGTTGGGTATGCCAGTCTAGGATTAGGCCAGAGGTGTAAAATTGAGACTTAGCTATAGAAATTATTTAAAGCTATGCAGCTAGATAAGATCACCAGGTCAAGTGGGCATAGACAGACAATAGAAAATTTTCAGCTTGCATCCTGAGGCGTTTGTTCCATAGTTAACAGTTGATGTGGCAGACCAGCAAGGAATGGCTGGAGAGGTACATAAAACCAAAATAAACACATGCCCTTGAATCTTCACACAAAAAGTGGGGGAGGCATCAGCTTATCAGAAACTACAGTTACGTCAAGTAAGATGAAGACTAAGACTTGATCATTCAAGTTGGCAATGTGAATGTAATTGATGGAAACTTGGCAAGCAGGAACTTCTCCTGTCAACATGGAATAACAGGTACCAGATTAACCACCCTTGCCAAAAGGAACAACAACAAAAAAATGAGAATATATGAAACAATGGTTTGCAAGACCCTGGACATCAAACAATGAAGAACAGTGATCTCCAAAAGTGGAAAAGGCTTGAGGTGAGCCCTGTGACTGCCTCCAGCTTAATGTCTTAAGAGAATTTCTAGGCCATGTACAGGGAGGAAGGGCCCAGGTGGAGCACAGTGGTCTCACTGAGAGTCTGGGGAGAATAAGGCAGCTGGAGTTTACAAGACAGAGAATGGGAGAAGAGAAAGCTTCATAGAAGATTCTGGAGATCCAGGAAGTCCCCTTTGAGCATTCAGTAGAGATTGGTGCATCTTTGTGAAGAGTCTACCCAAGGTCAGGGGACCCATCTGGTAAGATTGGAGTAAACAGTTGCTTGGTGCTCACACAGAGGCTGGGAATGGTTCCTGCTTTTGTCAGCCACAGTGGAAAACCTTGTAATTCACAGGATATGGAATGGAAGACTCAAAAGAGTCCTGCATCAGTGATGGGAAGTAATTACCCCTAGACTAAATGCTGCTATGGTCCCACCTAACAAATCTTAAAAACAAGACCCAAAGAGATCTTGTTCCCAAGTAACTGCGTTGCAGAGCAAAACTCGAATATTTATAGGAATACAGAAATATCCAGCACCCAACAAATGCTTAAATATCCAGTCAGAGTTCATCAGAGAGGCAGAAGAGCAGGAAGGTACAACCCATAATGAGAAAAATCAATCCATTGTAACAGACCAGAACTGACACAGATAAAAGAGTACATAAAAGCATTAAAGCAGTTTTTAAGAGCAGAAGCATTT